TTTACTCTTCTTATTAGATAACTAAGAATTAGGTTTTATGGTTAAAAACAAACAAAAAAGTCAAATCGTATTTTCAAGCTAATTTGTTAATTAATTAGTATTTGATTGGAGATTTATCCATAAATTGTAAAAAAAACTTTTTCTATAGGGCTTGCCTTTTTAAGCCATTGATATTTAATATTATTTTAATCTTTGAATTGAGATTTTAACGGTCTGAATCTGTAAGTACTCACATTAAAATTAAATTTATAGCACGTAATACATAATTGCTACAGTTATTAAAATTAAATTTATAGCACGTAATAATTGCTACAGTTACATAATTCAATGGTTGAAACAATAATAATTATCAGTAGTTAAAAAAGGCACAATGTTACTGGAGAAATTTCCAAAATTGTAAATGATAAATTCGTTAGTTTTTGGTAAAGCAAAAGAAGTTATTGATTTGGGAAAAAGATCTACAATCACATAAATATTCAATGGTAAAAATATTAGTAACTATCAGTAATTAAAAAGACATGTGCTACTAAAGAAATTCTCAAACTATAAAGCATTCATTAAGTTTAGTAAATCAAAATAAGTTAGGCCCTATTTTTTTTTTCTAACAACTCAAGTTGAGAATTTGAGTTTAAAAGTGAATTTTATGTGAGAGAAAATACTGTAACAAAAAAGTTGAATTTGAACTATTGTGAGAGAAAATAATGTGACAAAAAAATATGAATTGTGTATCAAGTTGTGAAAAAAAGTCTCAAAAAACGAAATGCGATGGTAAATTTTGATGTAATCTTAAGGCAACTTTTACGGTGGAACCCCAAAAGAACCACCGGTGGAACCCCTATTTTTAATTATTGGATTAATCTTTTAACGGTTAGATTTATGTAAGTATGTATTAAAAATTTACAACGAGCTACACGAAACTGCTCCTACTACATATTTAACGGTTAAAAAATTAATTTAATGGTAAAAAAAAACGTTTCACTGGTGGAGGTTTTTTTTGGGTCCAACGATAAAGAATGCCTGTTCTTAAAATACAAATAAAATAGTGACTATTCCTTTCATAAATAGATAAAATTTACTTTTAAAAAAAAGAAAGATAAAATTTGCCATGGTGTTGACGTGAAACACATTTTTGAAACAATAGTTCTGGTGGAAACACATTTTTTTTTTTAATTTTTTTATCTGATGATGATCTGCGCGGTTCTTTTGAACTAGACTAGATATTGTTCGTTCAGTACCGCTATAGAAATATTAGCTAGCTAGGTAATTAGCTTTACACAGCTATATAAAGTCTGAGTTTCAGACGTCAACTAAGGTCACATCTGATTCTAGGTATCAACACACTATTATAGCAGCTATACATACAGCTATATGGAAAGATACGTTAAGATCAGATATAACCAGATTATATATAACCATCCATTGGTTATATATATCACTTTATCTCGATTAGGAATTCGGATCTAATCTTTGCCTTGCAAAAACACAAAACACACAAACTGTACTAACGTACTAGCTAGCTAGCTAGTTAAATACTATTATGTGTAAGTAAATAGCTAGGAAAAAAAAAAAAAAACCTAATATCAGGAATGTTACTATATATATTGAATCGTTGTCGGTGATGAGTAATTAAAATTAGTACTCATCAGTCATGACGACATTCACCAAAAGATAACAAAAATTTTAAATAACCTAATTGTTTAATTCCTGTACAGTTTAAAATCTATTTCTTTTTCATTTTTTTTTATGTAATATCATTTATATACCTGTAACTTTCAGTTTGTTCCCGTATAATTCTCAATGTTACATGTATCAAATTATTTTTTTTCATGTCACACTAATTAATGAATGGAATATTACACACATGAATGAACGATGTTACACAAAAACATAAAAAAAATTAAATTTGTCGGATTGATCCAAGTGCCGAACTTAAGACATTAATATGAGGAATGTTAATTATATAAAGTGGATTCTATATATATCAGGTCATATATAAGCTGTTGGTTTAATGCATTAATGGTAATTTAAATTATATTTAAATTTAGATTAATAAGTAGGCATATGGCAATATTGTTTATTTCAGAAGAAATTTAAATTAAAGGGATTAGGATATTAAATATTGGCTTCAAGTTAAATTAAAAAGAAAGATCCAGCTTCATTCTAATGGCATGGAGAGGGCTTTGGTAATGGTTGAGAATTGTGGTTCAAATCAATTCCACATATAATGTTTATTTCTTATTTACAAAATGACACATTTAATTTATAACATTTTTTATTTTAAAAAACGAGGAGGTTAGATTGTGTCGTAAAGGGCTTCAGGTTCTGAAAAAGACATGAATAAGGGCTTTAAGTTTTGAAGGAAGACCTGAAGATTTTTCCCAATTAAATTATATTCCGAAGAAAAGGCAACCAGTATAAATTAATTTCAATAATTCTAAAATAAAGAACGGGAAGTATATAAGAAATTTTGGCAATGGCCTTGTAATATCTACCTCAGACTTTCAACTAAAGGCGTGGTTAAATGATACAAGCTGGAATCTGATTGGCCTATTTACATTTTGTGCAAGTGATAAAATTAACAACATTTTTTTTTTTTTGAATTAAAAAAAAAAAACAAAGCATTAACTTTATGTTTTGCTTAATTCACGGCCAAGTAAATGTAGACCCTACATTCTAGCACCTGATCATGCATTAATTACCAAAATCAAACTACTATTCATATTCTATTGAGTTAATTAAGGAATCGTAACCTGCATAAACAGATGCATAGAAAGAAATAATATATATATATATATATGTATATATTGTGTGATTTTAATATATATAAGATAACATAAGATGAATTTTGAAATCAACAGTTGTGGGGAACAATCTCTTTGGCTCTCAGTTAGCTCAGCTGATAAATGTGCGCACACCAATGAAAATGTTGGGCTGCATTGAAACCACTTGCTTAACCTGTCCGGCACATATCTTCTTGTGTTGTACATCTCTCGGTCTATATTATATGTATATATAAATGTGCATATATATATATATCATATTAAGATATAATATATGTACAAGAAGGTCCACATACATTTTTTAGTTGAAAAATTAAAGTGCTCAGAGAGAGATTCTGGGACGGTCTTAGTTGGGATAGGAGAAAACCTCGAATGGAACTTCTGGCCATATCTTCACTTTCATACGGCCCCTTTGTTTTTTGATTTGTGCATACATTATATATATATATATATATGTATATATCAATTAGAGCGTAAAGTTTGGGACAAATTTTGTTTTTGTTTTTTTAAAATTTTTCCAGTATTTGAAGAGTACTAAAAATAAATAAATATATATATATAACACTATATTATTACTAAATTCCATATGTGCCACTTCTTAGTGCTTTTACTTTTGTGTTTCATAATGATGTTAGAAGTCTACTTTGTTTTATTGTCCTTTTAAAAGAGAGAATGGTTGGACAAGGGCATGCAATGCACATGTACACCTTATGGTGATGGTGTTATGCTTGCCCAAAATTTGAGCTCTGATGCAGTTTATGGCATGTGGTTGAAAGTCGCAGAAAAAATTTTTGGTATGGGTTTTTGGTCCATCAAATTTGAGGGCTCAACATTTTAAGAAATTAGTCAGCATATGCATGTAGCTAGAAAAAGCCAAAGAAAATGTAGAGGTAACATAATAATCGACATAGAAAAGCCAGCGTTTGCACGTTGATTTGTCTTAAATTACACACTGTCATATATAGTAGTATGAGTCTGATCATCTCGCCATCTTTATTTTGAGGATAAGAATTCCGAAAAGAAAAACTTTCAAAGGATACTTATTCAAGCCAAAAGTAAATTAAACTAGTGTGCAAGCCTACTTGTAGTTATTTGTTGCTTTTACCAGCCCAAAGTTTGGACTTTTCAATTTAATTTTATTAATTTATTTATTTTTAGCTTTTCTTGGGGGTTAGATATACTCATATGGCGTTACAAAAATAAATAATTTAATAAGTTCATGACTACAAGTTATACAGGAGAAAGTACATAGATATCTCTGGTCTTCTATTCAATCCCATTTGCTCCAATAATCTGCGAATGGTCCAACTTCCAAGTGTAACAACAAGAGGAAAAAGAGCAATAAATGATATATGCAAATATTATTGTAATAAATAATAAAGACTAATAACTCATAGTTGGCTTTTCCTTGCTAGCTATGTACTGTTAGAAAAGAAAAGATCACAAAATGAGAAAAATTGAAAACTAATTACAAAACCATAAACGGCCACTAACGGTATCATCCCAGAATCTATTCACATTTTGATTCAAAAAAAATAAAAAATAAAATAAAAGATAAGATTCCCTACTTCTAATTATTATACAAAATTATTATTTCTTATATATCATTTCTTATATTTTTTCCTGCCTCTTCGTCCTCGTGATTCTATTTTCTTTTACATATACATATATATACCCCATATACATTTTTTTAACGAATAATGAAAGAGATAACTAATATAAAAACAATTAGAATATTTTAATTAGATTGGTACTCTTCTAACACGTTCATCCTAAATTAAAATCTCTCACTTTTGTATATAAATATATAGGCTTCGTTCATTTCACTAATTTAAGTTTAGAATTCGAGTTTTATTACAGTAACAAACTCTAAAAAACAATCACATCTAATTTTTTTACTATAATAAAAAATTTTCACATAAAATCACATTTTAATTCAAATTAAAACATTAAATTAACAAACTAAACGGATTAATAATTATTATTGTTATTATTATTTTTTATTATCTTTCATCTTTCCCTGATATTACCCCTCTCTCTCTCTCTCTCTCTATCTCTCTATCTTTGTGTAGTACTACTTTAATCTCTCCGCTGTCCACCGTCCACTTCCTTCAGTCATCTTGTACTCTCTCTCTCTCTCTCTCTCTCTCTCTCTCTCTATCTATAAAAAGCATTCTCAGAAGGGAAAAACAATTTCCCCCCCCCCCCCCCCCCCCCCCCAAAACAAAACCACAGCCTTTTTAATTTAACCATGGCTGACCCATACTCTAATTTCTTCACAGGTCTCTTCAAATTCAACCCTTTTCACCCTAACAACAATTCATCTCCTTCTTCAAACCCTTTTCATCATCATCATCATCATCATCATCATCAAACACAACAACCTCCTTATTATCATCACCATCATCATCATCTTCATCATGATCGTCACCATCATCAACACCACCACAACTTCTTCAACAATATCAACCTGCAGAGCAGCCCCTACTATTCGGCCAGTATTCTCGGCAGCCAAACGGCACAAATACCGCCTTCTGCTGCGGCCGTACCGGCACCCCCGTCTTCACCTCCTCTCAGAGAAGCACTGCCACTTCTGAGCTTGATAACCAGCCCTTCAAAGCATGAAGAAGAAGAAGAAGAAGAGGAAGACGAATACGGTGATCATGATGAAATCAACAGTACCAATACTACTACTACTACTAAGAACAAGAAAGATCACCATCATAATCATGATCTTAACATTGATCAAGAAGATGAAGATGATGATCATGATGATAAGACCGTGACTGTTGCACTGCACATAGGGCTGCCAAGCCCTAGCGCTGAAGAGATGGCTTCTCTTCTCTCCGGTAAATATAATTCCTCTTCTGATCAGATGATCAATGATAATAACAACAATCATCATCATAATAATAAAGATCATGATCATGATGGAGATCATCACGGTGATGATTCTGGGTACCCTATGACCAGGCTCAACAAAGGTCAGTATTGGATCCCTACCCCTTCACAGATTCTCATTGGTCCCACACAGTTCTCATGCCCGGTTTGTTACAAGACCTTCAATAGATACAACAACATGCAGGTAATTTCTATTTTTATTTTATTTTCATTTTTTTAGGTTTTATGTGTGTATATATATTGCTTTAAAGAAAATAATGGTTGCTTTTCCTTTTGGTATATGATTAATTTTCTTGCCTGATTTGAATCTTTAACTGTTATCCTATGCTGGGATTTAAAGAGGAAAAAAGTAGAGTACATGGGCTCTTTTTTCTTCTCTCTCTCTCTCTCTTTTTTTTTTTTTTTTTTGTTGTTGTCTAGCTTGCTATCTATATAAACATTTTTTTTTTCAAATTTTTTTTTTAAAATATTTCTTTCAAGGATTTCATCATCATCATCATTATATCTTGTTTTTCCTGCACCTTTTTCCATTTCTTTGCATGGTTTATGGGAATTGGGATTTATATATATTGAAATATATACATTCATAATATAGCTACATGATGATCTTCCTTTTTTCTCTGATTCAAACTGAGACTGAGATCACCAGTACAATGCCTTCCCCTCCTTTATGTGATTGAACAACACAGGCAATGTTCCTTATGTCTTTTAGTACTTTGAAGTCTGTGCTTTCACAGATTGGCAGATTGTACATATATATATAGAACATAAAAAAAATAAAAAAAAATAAATCTACATTTTTTTTATTCAGAGGGAGAAAGGGAAAACTGGTAGTGATCTTGTTATTATTAAGCCATATATATGTGAACCTTCGGTCTCTGCAGCAAAACTGTTCTATATAAGACATGATGATGAAAACTCCTTACATAGGACATCAATTCATCATCATTAATGATCACTATCTTCTCATCAATTGTTGAAAACACGCAAAAAATTCTCATCATTAAGAAAGAAGACCATTATTAGTTTCAGTGGAAAAGAAAAGACCGTGAATTTCAACACTACATTCTTCTACATATAACAAATAATGATAGGATATATAATCCTTAAATTCCTCAACAATTGTAAAAGGCTATTTCAAATGTCAAGTGAAAATTAGTACTTTAAAAGGAGAACCAGTTTTTTGTATATAATTTGAAGGCCATTGATTCAATTTTCTTCCTTTGTGTTCCACTATTGTTTGATGAAACCTTGCAAAAGAAGACTAAACATTAATCATCACCATTAGTAATTTTCTTAACTATTGAAAAAAAATAGTCATATAAAACTTTATATAAATGTCCGGGGCTTAATTACATCGTGTGAATTTGTGATTGGTTAAAAAACCAGCGATGCATGATACATAGTAGTATCGCGCATGTCCGGTGGCTGATTTTATTTTCTTGTTTGTAGATGCATATGTGGGGGCATGGATCTCAGTACAGAAAAGGCCCTGAATCGCTTCGAGGAACTCAGCCAACCGGCATGCTTAGGCTTCCTTGCTATTGCTGTGCACCGGGATGCCGGAACAATATAGACCACCCAAGAGCAAAGCCACTAAAGGACTTCAGAACCCTTCAAACTCACTATAAGAGGAAGCATGGAATCAAGCCCTTCATGTGTAGAAAATGCGGGAAGGCATTCGCCGTTAGAGGCGATTGGAGGACCCATGAGAAGAATTGTGGGAAACTTTGGTACTGCATTTGTGGCTCTGATTTCAAGCACAAGAGATCACTCAAGGACCACATCAAGGCCTTTGGAAATGGACATGCAGCTTATGGTATTGATGGCTTTGAAGAAGAAGATGAACCTGCTTCTGAAGTAGAACAAGATAACGAATTTATGCAGTAACATGCACACATAAAAAAAGAAAAGAAAATTAATAGTGATCATTTGTCCAATATATATATATATATATATCTTTGTTTCTCATCTTTATGGGAATATTAAAGATATATATAGCCGTTATTAGAGCTATATTTGTAAGCATCAACTTGAAGGGAAGAGCTATGTATGACTCTTCTCCTCTCTTCTTCCTTTTCTTTTCTTTTCTTTTCTTTTCTTTTCATTTCCTCCTCCTCCTCCTCCTCTTCTTCTAATCTTTGTTCTTAGTTCTTTAAGTTTCCCCAGCTTCTTTACCGATGTAGGATGGAAGCATAATCATGATAGGCTAAGTTTTAGTTTTTTTTTTCCCTTTTTTTTTTTGTAAATTCATTTTCCTTTAAACTCATATTGATATATGGTTTTTCTTTCTCTATATATATCCTTTTCTCTTGCACTTCTTAAGTGAATATGTTAATATATTGTGTGAAATTCATGAGAAAAAATAAAGGGTGTAGTTCAGTTAAAGAATCAAAATGGAAGGAAAACCTAAAAATATCTAGAGTTATCTGCTCAGAAACCGTGTGTATCTAATATAGAATCATGGAATGTGTTCATAGAAATGTGTTTCGCTTTTGAAAAATAAGGAAAAGAATATTTCTTGTTGTTGTTAATTTAATATCATTTGAATTTTTGAAGAAGGATTTACCAAATAATATTTGGGCATATTTCACTTGGGAAATTAATTAAATTATGCTTTTCTTTACTAATGCTTTTGGTTAAACTTTCAACAGCAAAACCAAATTAAAGGAAATGATTACTTCGAGGAAATTAGGGGATCATATAAAGTGGCAGTAGTAGTACTACTAGATAAAGACAAATTTTTTTCCAAGAATGATTTTCAGCCTCTCAATGATCTCTCCTGAACTTCAAATCTAATACATATATTCTTTCCATATTACATAATCTTTTGTGGGCGCGTAAAAATATATCAGATATTGACCCTTGCCCACCAACAAAAAGAAGCAGGAAAAAAGAAAAGAAAAAGAAAAGGAAAAACTACATAATAAAGAAAAATACTAAAATTATATATTTGAACTTCAATGAGAATTAGATCAGAAGAATCTTTGAAATAAGACGAGACCAACCCAGCTTCTGCCTTTTAGGAGTGATAATATACGCACGGATAATCTATCTTCTGTGGGATTTTCAGGCTTTTGGCTTTAATAATTCATGTTTCTTTTTAAGATCCTCTCAAGGAGTATACTATCCAAATTATGTCACAAATGGGTGTATATATATAGCGACATATATATATATATAT